ACAAACCTAAAGAACTAAGGGGAAACCTTGTATAAAATTGTGAAGGTTCAATTTCTATCAATCCTGTACTGCGTATTCACTAAGTGTGCTAGTATCGAGCTCCTGATTGACATCACGATTCTTTCGCCTAACCATGCTTGACAATGCTCAAAGGGTGACGGTATGTTTGTCGACTTATTCGACCTTTACAACTGTCTTCACAGGCATAGTTAAATTTATAGAGGCACAATGAAGTCGAAGTATTCGGTGGCTCATCCTCCACCTGGATTGGAATTATCAAAGGTTGCAAGGGGTGATTTTAAACACAGTGTTGCGGCGAAGAATGTTTAGGCTGTTATTTCTCTTAGTTTCGATGCCAGTAATTCACTAGCTGTATCTCGTTTCAAATATAAGCTAATATATATATATATATATATATATATATATATATATATATATATATATATTGTTGTCTAAGTATATGAGACAATCATCTTCCCACTCTGTGATACGGTGAGTTACACATGTATCACATGTACATGCTCACATGTGAACGTATTGACAAGTCTGGCTTGTGAAATTTAGGTAGCTCACTCATTCTAGGCATATTTCTTTCTACAAGCTGAAGAAATTCGAAAATTCGGGGTGAGATTACAAGGTTGGAAACTAGTCTTCAGCATATCCGTAAACTCCCTTTCTATTTGCTGTCTTCTTTGTCGATGTGGAATTTTCGCAATTTTACATTGTCCTTTACGATGCTGTTCATCTTATCGACGTAGTTAACTCTATCTAATAATACGACCAAGCCGTTTATCCAAACTCTTTACAAGAATGCCTTGGTTCAAACGGATTCTCTTTGAGGCTTCAGTGAGAGCCTTTCTGAGGATCATATACACGTTGTCACCTTCACTCTCTAGGCTTGTACACTTTCAACTGCTATGAATATGATATTGAAGTACTTGGAATCTGTGAGAGCAGGTAGGATGGAAGTGGACTCCCCTGACTGTTAACTGGAGACTCGATAATCTACTCCGTTCACCTAAACGACAACCACCAACACACTGAGTAAGTCGCTATCATCATTTCGCCAACAGCACACTGAAGACTTTTATGTGATGGGAACCATTCTCCTCCAGAATACTGTCAGAGAGATTAAACTCAAAATGAACGTAGGTTACAACCATACAGCGCTACTCGAGATGAGAAGAAGACGTAGGTTCAGACCATAATCTAGTGCAACAAACCTCCATGGTCCATTTGAAAACCACCAAATAATCTGGAGATGGACCACAATTCAAGTTGAAGGCTCAGAAACTGAAGGTCGGGCTACAAAGGACACCTTCACAGCAGACAACAGGAAAATGTCGGAGACAATAACCAAAATCACCGGTGTAATCTGCCTGGGAGTACACTGGGACCTTCTAAAAACGACGTGCGGAGAAACCTGTATAGACACTTAAGGTGAGAAGAGATAAGACACGAAAAGGCTCTCTGCAGAAGCTATGCGGCTGATAGAGGGCAGAAGGATGGGGAAGTAGAAGATAAACCAGTGCAGTGACGAACAACGGGAGAATGAGCTGGGTACAACCTACAGTTCGTTGGGCAGACGAATCAACAATGGTAGGAAAGAAAACAGACACTTTCAGGAAGCGTTGGCGAATGAAGTAGAATAGGATGACACCTCAGAAAACGAATCGCCTTCCATACAGATGTCTAGAGGAGCTCAACGTGAATTAAAATTACTTTGAAAGTCAGTTCATTTTCTCTGCTAATAAATAGCATATATAAGTCAGTTGGTACGAATTTCAGAAAGCAAAGATTATCATTGGATAATTAGTGGCTGTCTTTATGATAATGATCATTGTGTACTGACCTTCTCACACTACAAGAGCCTACAACTATGATCAACATTATCTCACGACTACCATTCCAGTGGGAACAAACATTAACACTCCCACACTAACATACATACACACACACACACACAAAGGACTCTTCACTCCGTCCCCCGATGTTATGGAATTTATCACCAGACTAAGTGAAATACATGTTAAACACTAATTATGGACATACACTACTGTGTATTCATTGTCACCCTGTGATTGTAAACCATCAATTTGGTATTATATCTGTATATGTTATCATACACATGAATGTTTTAACAGTCGACTCACTCCCGGATTCTTTAATCACAACAATCCCATGTTATGCAAAAAGCACCAAGGATGTTAAACACCGAGAGCAAATATCAGAAAATACAATATATAATAAACTCTATCGTAGATGTGGATATTAGTGGGGACAAAGTAACAGCTACCGGCTCATTTTTATAGGACGACGGCCAGTTGTGAATGGCAAGACAATAAAATGATATGTGAAGGAAGTGATATGATTGACAAGCTGACCAGTTGGCTTCTTCATGTACCATTTGACTTACGATGGTGATTACTGTAGTCGTGCTTATTATAACCTAACAAGTAGCATCAAGTCACAACTTTTGAGAAATAACAATTCACGCTCACTGCACTAAAATGACTGCCATCGACCAATAGTCTACTGAACAACGTTCGGTTGTGTCAAACAATGGTTACCTAGTCGAGTCTCATTGTGAACACCATCACCAGGATGTACATGTAGGTACACTCAGTTGACGAATCTCAAATGGGATGAAACACGCGTCCACTGCTAGCCACTACTCATATTGCTCGTATCACATTCAGTTGATAATAAGCTGAATTTAAGAGTGTCTAAGGCTAGAATTGAAGATGTGATTTCTGTAGGAACTTCTATGCATGTCTGTTAACTGGACCCGCCTATTACGGTAGGTTGTCTAGTACTATTCACTTTGTCAACACTAACAAGTCAAATATCAATGTATTTCGCTAGTTCATCCAATTGTATGGCACGCAGTTTATATCAGCCAATCCGTCCCACTAGATTATATGTCAATCGTGCACACATGCCTAGATCTCCAGTGCTTTCATGCTGCTTTTACCTAAGGATTCATAGAGAACTTCTGATCGCAGTAGGAGACATTGGGCACGTAATGTGGTGCAGTATTACGTGAATTTATGTGATGTAGTGTAATTGACCGGATAACGTTCAGAGCACAATTTACTGCTCATTGTCAACTCTATACTATGGACCATATGTTGTGCCAAAAACTTCATCCAGACAACCATATCATAACACTTCTTGTCATATCATATAAACTCATGTTACACAGAGTAGTTAAGGTGATTTTCGTCACTGCAACCAGATAGTTCTTAAATCCTCTCCATTGTGATTGATGACATACATGTTTGACTCAATATCTTGTAACGGGTGAGATTGACATTCTAATATTACTCGTGTGTTGTGTTATGTGGCGTAATCAAGGTTGGTCGGTCGACGCTGGCGTTGCAGGATGATTGGACTGAGTGGAAAGCGAGCAGCAACAGAACACCCTCTCACATGCAACTACTACTAGTTAAACAACAATAGTGCGGGCATAGAAAATGCCCTCAATTCAGAACCCCAACTATAGTTATCACCTCATTGTGGAACTCCCTCATAGCGCTGATATACTAAGGAAGGTTTAATCACCAATTATTCGGAAATCGAGATGACTCAGCTATTAGTCACACTAAACTATACCTGAAGCCTCAAAAGTGTCGTAGTACTCTACAAAATATAGAAATTACGTGGAAAACACCCCCTGGATAATTGACGCGAAATACCTCAAATGGGAAATGCAAACTGATATACACTGAAGTAACTCATGACCGTCCATTTCGCATAAGTTAGTTTCCCAAATTGCGGCGCATACCATTTGCAAAACCATCGAAGGCCAATGGCTGCATCACTTCGGAGTTTCAGGCTCTTCAAAGTACAGTACACTGGTTTGTCTCATTCCAACGTCTGCCATGAAGCATAGTTGTGCTGGTTTGGCGTCTGTCGATAGCCTACGATTTCTTACGTGGGGTCTAAGATCATACGAATGAGTGCCTCAGCACGTCATCATCCCGTACAACTGGGAATTGTAATCAATCACGATGTCGCAATTAACACTCGGTACCCATTACATAAATACTGTGTTCTTATCTAAGTAAAATAAAACAGCATTTGAGGTAATCATTCACTACGCAAATAGTGATCAATCGACCTTAACAGCTGTGATATCCACCGAGAAACGCTCGAACTATTCAGATTAACCACCATCTTGGCCAAATAAATTATTGGAATTCACATTGCCACAGAAGACATGCATCTCCGAAATCCCTGCTCAAGAGTACGGACAACTAGCTTCGAAATTACACCTTCTTTACTCTTACTCACAACACGCACGTTAATGGACTTATCAATGCCAGATGTTGACACTGCCTCATCAACCGATTCCTCGTCAAAACAGCAGCGACATAGAGGTCAGAACACCTATAACGCAGTCAGTCAGCCACCTATTCCCAGAAAACATGTCCGAACCAACCATCCAACTGTGAAGTGTTCAAGGTTTCTTAAGAGTATTACGTCGATGCCTTATCATCACCCTAACAAACTACAGTTAACTAACCTTCTTTCATCTAGTAAATAAACAATTTCCTCCATCCATCCTTATATACCTTCAAGTTTTACTTTTATTATTCCTATTATATTTATGGTTCTGTTGCTTCTTTGTTTTACTTTAATAATTGCAAACACCAACTTTTGTCTATGACTGCTGTGATCTTTGTTTTCCCCCCTCACCATATCATGTAAAGAGAACACTGTATTCAATATTTTCAAACATTCTAGGATTACCATACCTCATCGACAATACTGTTTGAAAGAGGCCAACGGAAGTTTTCACTTGTATTATTATTACTATTACCTTAGCTGTTATCATTATTATTATTTCCATTTTATATGCTGCATGTTTTGGGAAATTTTTCTATGTGATTAATTTCATTTATAATTTGATGAAATATTGTGATTAATGCTGAAAATCCCATTCTCTATCACAAGTACTGCTTTTCGGATGAAGTAAATAATTATCATCATACTATTATTATTATTATTATTAAAAGGGAAGATGGATTCAAAAGGAAATACAATTTATATGAAAATAACAAAATCTGTTTATAAGTAGAACATGCCGTCAACTTGACTGCTGTGAACTCTGAAACGACCAGCATCTAACAGAATCTCTGGTTTCTCTATGTCCGATAACCACTCACGTGCCCGAAATGCAGCCAAATGAGAATAATAAGTCGGCGCTGGATACGAGACGCTACGGGAACACCTCATGTACGCGTAGCATAAGTGATAGGTGAACATCTGAAGAGCATTCGATGTCCAGTTACTATCATCATACAACACGTGATAGTGAGCAGGTTTCGATGTACCCTAAAAGTAATGGCATTAGCACAAAGAAACAATTTACCTGAATCCCTTCCTGAGAGCAGAGGTAGAAATCAAATTCCCTGGGATGCGTGATATCTGTATCAACCACCGTCCCGGCTCCACGTTTCTTGCCCTAACAAAGCATTCAAACAGACCGTTAAGACACGAATAAAGTGTAGTACGTACACAGGAAACATCATGAGCAAATACCTTACCTGGGGTCAGATGGTCTAAATCGAATATGGTGACGCTTTTGCACAACAATATAAGTGATAGCAGGCTCTTCGCCAGGACGAACATCTGCACAAGCCCGTTGAATTGCACACAGCTCCTCCACCAGCACATTTTCGAACTGGCCCTCCGAAACTCCATCGCGATAGAATATCATGCGCGTCGGGAAACGCCCGTTCGTGTTACGCAGGTAAAGCTGCAACAAAACACAAATAATAGGGAAGAACGAAAGCGTACAACGGGAAAAAGGGGAACGTGAGTCAGTAGAGTTGGTCATTGATGAAAACTAACCTGGAGTAGCTCCTTGACACTGAGACGCATATCATCGATTATTTCTCTCGCTGCCTTATTCCCCTTTTCTGTGGTTGCCTGCTGACGGATAACTACCCCGTATCTCATAAGATCGGGTGAAACACTGCCGATAACAGCAGCTACTGACTTTCGAATCTGATGAGTTTGTGTAGGCGCAGGATGAGTGACATCGGCTCCGAAAACCATAACCAACTCTTGACTGTCCTTAATTAGGTCAGGAATTCGCCAGTTCACACCGCCGAGTTTCCCATTCAGTTTGAGTAACAGGTTCGCTGAAAGCAGAAAACCGAATTAAACTCATCGAAATACAGAAACACACTGAAGGCTACATGTGAACAACACGCATTACTTACGGAAAACGTTCGGTTTGTCCAGAGTACGAGCTCGTACACATTGAGTCCGAATCCCCATTTGTAGGTCACTCAGACGTTTAATCGATGAGTAGAAATGTTCATCGTACAAGATGAGAAGTAAGAAGCCACAGCCTTGTCTGGAAAACTCCTCGAACCTCCTGTTAAGTTCTCCTCTCGGACACTGTGCCACAATCGGTCGAGGGCTAAACCGAACACCAAAGCGACTGGCCGCTCTAGGCAATTCCGATATCACCTTCTGAACATGACCATGAGACCGCTAGGAAGAAAACATGGCAAGGAGATGAAGCAGTCAGTTCTCGCGTTTACATTTGACAATAATAATTCTTCCAAATGTATCGCGCAAATACATCTCACTTTTCAGATAATCTCCGTCTTCTAAAAACACTGTCCAAATTTATAAAAGCGATTAACTGTTTTCAACAATAACACATGCCTTTTGACAACAAACCAGAATTAAGTGCACACTTCTCAGGCTACTCTACCTATCTGACAGCATTTCTTTCACTTTATTAAAAGGCAGACAAAACCTCCTCTTTGTATACAGAGCATTAAACACTGACAAATAAAAGATGATGATATTACCACCGACGTAATGCAGTGAACAATGAAGTAGGTGGGCTGTCATGGAACTAGGCGAGGTACCCTTCGATGTTGATACAATCGACAAATGACCAAGTCTACAATGTCAATTCGGTGCCCAAGTGATTGTACAACTCAACTTTGTTACAGCACTAATCTTATGTTGAACCGGAGTAGAAAACATACCTGATTAGGTGGAATGCTAAGTACAGCCCACATTATTTCTACTCCTTCGCCGGCAGGGTGAAGAAAGCCAGGCGTGCTCCAACTACCTGCCGTCAGCTGTTGTACACCGGAACGACCAAAACCAGCAGTTGGCGGTTGGATAACGCGTGCGTTAACTTCCACTGGCCTCGGTTGAATCGCCAAACCAAATTGTTTGATCAGTGGATGGGACCTTGGAGGAAATGGAACAAATGTCATGTCAAAAGAAACCCTCATAATTACAAAACAATGCATTGAGTAAATCATAAAATCTGGCTCCAGGCTAACGTCGTTTACACACCTTCCTACACAGTTGGTTCCAGACTTGCATTCAAGAATACCTACCCTACAATTGAGTCCTCTTCACTGTCACACAGTCAACAAACACTACTCTAATTTTGTCGTGCTCGACTAGTCGCAGGTCCGTGCAATTATACAACTCGTGACCCACTATAACCAACTAGACACCGCCACATTCTGCGTCCTTATCGAATCGATGTACAAAACAGTGTATGTCGTATCTACTTGCATGCTTGGAAAACAAACAATAAACTCTGTAGGTAGGCGTTACGTCAAGGATCTCCGGCACTTATCGAGAAGGATTGTGGTGTTTGCCTCACATTTATTCAAATTTCAAAATTACGGCTGACACAACGGACAGCAGATTTCTGTCATCAAAACGTTCACAAAGGGCTCATCTAATAATATCTGTAAGAAGTTTACGCATTGTGGAATACATCAATCAAGTGTAATTGTATTTCAATTCCAATAGCTAGTATCAATTTTGCTAGAAATCGAAAGCTTATCACTGTGCGTAAACAACCAATGAAATACAACTATAACCAATCATTCGTCTAGTAGTGTGCTTCCGTTGTCACCTTCAACTTGTCTCTTTACAGGAATACAATGAAGACTAGAATTTCCAATCATGGGAAAACTGAGTTGGCTTGTAGTTAGAAGGACCTACAGATCCATAGCTCATCGACTACAACTTAAAGTAGCACTATCTTGAGCACTTCTCCGCCCATTCTAGAGGACTCTTCCATTAACATCACCAAAGAATCTATAGAAGCTAAGTGTGATAATTCGGAAATCTCCACATGTATCCAGGGTTGGCATTGTAACCTACTGCTCATTCTACTTTCTCACCATCCTTTTAATGCGCTACAACAGTGAGTGTTGAGCTATAAGCTTCATGGAATGTCGAAGAAATCAATCATCAAAGCTCGTCTATCTCAACATGCTTACCCTCAACTCTTGGATCAATAAGCAACACTACACTTTAGTACTGACCCGTGGTAACAACTCATAATTGAAACTCTTACTTCAGCATATTATTAGCAAAATTCTCCAGCTCTCTGAAGCGCTCCTGTGGTCGAATTGCTGCACAACGGATAACTTCACTCGCAATATCGGCTTTACTCGCATTAGGAGCTTGATATGGCAAAATGTTTAACAGTTCCATCGGCATATACACTTCACGCTTTTGATCAACCTACAAAAATAATCACTGAAATGAAAATTTACCTTCACACAGGGCAGTTCTGGATACTTCAGAGTGATATGATGGTGCTGCTTGAAATATTCAGCCACGGACTGGTTCAACTCCTCAATCATCAAACGATCGGCTGGTAGTGATGATATCCCGTGCACGGTGAAGCGTCGGGAATATGCACGTCCTAAAATGTATGAGGTATAACAGAAAACATGCATACCATCATCGCTCTTGTAGAATTTATCAGTCTCAACTCGTATCTTTCTCAAGTCGTATGCCATTTGAGTGCTACATCTAACCATATCGTCTCCATACTTCGAATACATGACGTCCGCTAGATTCCCGGATACAAAGTAGGCCTTGCACGTCTGTGATTATATGTAAAAAAGAAGGTGAACCACTACTTACCATATCCAAGTTGACACGAACTTTCCACTGGGGTCGCACACTACTGATGAAACCCTTATGAATAGTAAAAAGCTTATCCATAACCACTTTAATTGGTGTTTGCTGAAATAGGGCTGAGCGTCCAAGGGATACAAACGACTGCTTTGACACCGTCTTCAAGATGCAGTCTAACAATCTGATACATTCCTAGAGACAAATATGAAACATATTCAGCCTTACCTGAGGCATGTTCATAGAGGTCGCTTTCGGATTCGTTATGAAATGGCTGATGTCGGAACTAGATACCTTCTGCACTTCCATAATCCGGTACTTCAGAAGAAGGCGGTCCCGACCAAACGGCTCCTTGATCTCAATCTGTCTTTCTACGGGGTCCGTTGTGACACCAGGTAACGGATCTTCAGAGTATATGGCGTGACCGCCATCGTATATGATCGTATCTGGTAAACTGCAGAAGCGAGTGAAATAAGCATAATTGTTTAGCATGAGGTTTATTAATAGATACCATTGCTCTCAATAGAAGCCATAACCAACAACTTCACCAATTCTTTCTAAACAACGCTGATAGTAACCGAAGTCACATAATAAATGGTGTGGGACATGGAACAAGTTATCCTACACGTGTACGAATCTTTGGTTGACAAGCAAGCAATACTTGACCGAAAGTCAGAGAAACAATTCAGCTTAATAATTAAGGAACAGAAAGTTCCGTTACATATGTAAACAATCCATTTGATCAATAACACAATGGCACTTACGAGTCAGCTACCTGCTGAATTAAAGATCTCAACTCTTTAGGTGGCATTCTTATCTCAGTTTTACTGCCCTCCTTAGCTTCCAATCGATGAACTGAGTTGGCTTCCACAAAATAGAGATATGCCGTTTTGTGATGAAATGTCAAATCCCAACAGTTTGAAGTGACTTTGACTTTCTTGCCGAGTGTACCTCCTTGGTCTGGTCTATTCGGTATTCTGAGTGTCTTCTGTATGTTCAGTCTGAAAAAATAGTCAATTCGGGAGCGTTACCGAAGGAAGCAATGAAGACAAATACTGTTAGTTTATTTGACGTCAACTTACTTTGAAATCCCCGTAGATATGTCATACCTGAAACAAAGAAACGAAAGCTAGTTAGGCATCAAGACAAAACATGTCGTGTTATCTGAAGGAACAACAGGAATAGTACTCACACAGCCTTTTGGACTGGATGGCTCTTTTTCTGGCGGGCAGCTTCCGAGACAATTTCGCCTTCCGAAGACGACGGAATATCACCCCGTTCACTAGGTGCATTGGAACTCCACACAGAACCAGACGAACTATTACGAGTTATTGTGAGCACTCATAAACTTACGCTGGATAACCCTTTCAGCAGGCTTCTTCAACGGTCCTGAATTGTTAACGCGTGACCTGAAGGGTGAAAAACAACATATTAGTCGTTATGCACTCCACGAATACGAGCAGTGCTACTCTGTCATTTGTGGAGGCCGACTGATAAATAAATCTGGAAGATGACAGCGGACTACATAATACATATCCGAACACAACAGACACAATACTACTGCTCGCCAACTCATCATTCATGAAACAACTGCAAACCACCGTGGCTAAATGAACAGGACAAAATTCATGACCTCCACACCTTGCAACGCCAAATCAGAGGTCGAATTGACGATAACCAGGTGTCGAATAGCTTCCCCTACTCTCATCTTATGTGTGGAATCGCAGCTGACAAATCTGACCTACAATTCACCAACGATAGTCATTGGGTGGGGATGGGGATTAAGAGAGTCGAACAAACAAGTTAAATGAATCAATCGATGGCGTACATATTTACTTGCTGTTTTGTCTGGTAGAGGTAATACAATCATTATCCCACTGCAACCATCGACGACTCAGGTTTGAAAACACGGGATTTCGGACTAGTAAAGTTGAAGCGAAGTGCATATCCCCAACGTAATAACTGGTGGTCTTGACTACGGTGTGCATGTCTAACTATGGTTCATGGGATAGTAGGAACCAATACTACCACAGATAACACGCTCACTCTTCATCCTCCATGTTAGCCACACCTCATCAATCTTCGTTCCACACAGATTCTCAGGAACTCCAGTCAACATGTAGTTAACGTTCACGACCATCATCAAAACACACCACAAGTGGACCGCGACTACTCAGTGTGTTTAGACAACTCAATTCCGTCAAACAAGCTTGATGCACCGAAGTTCAGATGACTTTCCGAGTCACCACTCTGTGGTAAAGGCGTTCAGTCTTTGGGATATCTCAGTTACACTGCTTCCAAGCTGGAACTGAAACCACACTAGAAAGACATTGGTGAGGTATGCGCTAAAATACTTCTACGCTTCTCAGCTTTGCACGTAGAGGATGGCAGTTATGTGGATAATGTTAATGGCGAAAAATCATACAGGTCAATCCACACCCACCCATTTCCACAGGACCCACCTGACTCACCACGGTCTCTCCAACCACCAGGCCTGATGATCCACGTCCACGTGGATGTCCTTAAAACCCTCTACAAAACACAACCGAGTAATTCAGTAGTGCTTAAAAGACCGTCATATAGATTGCAGTATGCAATTTTATTCACAATCAGCATTGAATATCACCTGGATCTCTAATTAGTGTGACTGTCTCAACTGCGCGACATACTTGTCCGTTGGACAACAATTGGATGACAACTCCAAGCAAACATCATTCTGTCAAAATCCCTAAGTCGACTAACACACTCACAAGAGACATCTGAAAGCCGGTAGACTAATGGACGACCTCACCTTTCTGACATGCTGACACGAACTACTACAATAGTAAGCGCAACTTTCAACTACTGTCCGTTGTCCGGCGTGCGATGGCTTGACTAAACAAAATTGAAAATCCAATATCCAATACTTTTCGACCTCTTGTATACACCTTGGGATTTCGGGTTTCTTGGCTTTATCTGACTAGCCTTTAATGAATTTTCTGCTTAATTACGTGTTAAGTTACGTTTCAGCCCAGTGAATCCAAAAATGTGTTGTGAGTGTATGAATTCAAACACTGATGTCGAAGGTACGGCGGAGAATGTACTTACAATACAGACTTCGCTTTGTGAAAGATGCAACGGACTACTAGCACATAGCAAATTCTGTGCAAATATCTTGGATGGCGTTGTTGAGAGCCAGTCAATAAACCTAACTCGAGATACATACTTTATAATGAAATGGTAGCCGCAAAGCACTGCCTACGATTTTTGACAAGGTTTTCCTCGAATTAAGCCATTATTTGTGTTTAGATACTTAGTCGGCCATCATGGAACACCTTGTATTCCGTGTGAGCTACACCAAGAATTCTACAGTCTATGTTTCAGGTAATGTTATGCTTAAGACTTGGTATTAGCTGTAACGATGTTTGAAAGCATAGAATATATAATGCTGTTCCCTTCGAAATTTAGGCGCAGGTCGTCAAAAGCTTTAAAGCTTCCAATGCATCAACTAGACAGTTATGCTTCCTGCGTTTGTAGGGATTATCTTGTTCAAATTTTGCCGTCCTAATATTTGTAGAGGCTTTGTATTGTAGGACCTATAAGAATAGTGTGAAGTTCATTTTTGTTCTCATTGGCCACCTCGCTTCTAGTCTACCATTACAACACCAATCGTTGCGTGGCGTATCTATACATTCGTTTCTGGTTAACTGTTTGTCTCTTTAACTGTACATTTGCCATTTACTATTACAGTTGTGGTTACTGTCAGTATTATCTCACTCTTCGGCCAGATGAACAAATGACTGTTGAGATATTTAACTCCGATCGCGCCGTTTCAACTGTTTCCTCACACGACGTCCTGTCGTCCACACAAGATCCTGTCGCGTACAACTACTCCACTGGACGTCTACCGAAGCAATAACAGTCAATCATTCTAACGGATTATGCAGCTGCCCGCGAAAACAAGGGACGTTTACCTCAACGCCGAGGAGTGGGCCTGAATAAATAAAGATGGGTCCATACGATAGGAGGGCAAAGAAGTTCTTGAAGTCAGTTGAGTCTCAGACCTTTCACCGTCAACGGTCAATTTGTTTATCCATGTGGACTGAAACACAATCTGGTCAGCACAATTCTCAAGAGACAAGAACTCAGTGGCGGCTTCGTAGTGTGATTGCGTATCGCTATGGCCTAATCCTGTCACGGCTAATAAACACACCTTGGAGCATACGTGAGAGTTATATTCTCCCTTCTCTAGTCGTAGTGGTTCCAAGTCCATAAATGGACTCATATGCAATAATTCCATGCTTTGAAATCTTGGGTGGTATGTTTCAGAATATATGTATATACGCATATGTGTAGGATGATGCGGTTACTTTGAAATATCTTATCATATATGTTATAAGGAAACATTTTGAATTTTGTAGAAAGAGTTTTCTCGTTACGCGTATACATAAATATTAGTAGGTGGCATTCCATTCACAATGCGAAATTACTAGAGCAGTAAACACGGTTAAAAGCAATTTCATGCTGAGCCAGTATTCCCACAGTTCTACGACAACAAGGGAGGAGAGTGATTCCAAAGATCAATCGAACGTGATTACAGATCAACATTAATTTGAACCTGAAGTCAATCACTCGCTCACAAGACGGGAGCGAAGTTGGTTGCAAGAGAGGTGGCCGTCCAGAATAGTGAAGATATGAACTAAAACAGTCACCATACACCGCGGAACATAATAATTATACGTTGGCGGAAACCATTGAATGTATATGTAACAAATTTAGAGGCATCAGAAACAAGGTGAAACAGCCCGGATTAGTGTTTTCACATCGCAAAACACAATTGTCAGCCACGTCTCGTAAACCGTTAATGCCCAGCTCTCGCTACTTTGGGCCTCACGCTCTTCCTCGAGGCTTCTCTGAAACGCTTAGTAATAACGGACGAAAAATCCAAAACGCCAATTGGTGACTCGAGGATTTTTTATTGTTACACCAACATATAAACAATGTTACAACTAAGGTCTGTGAACAAATATTACAATAATAAATCACAATATTACTTCTGACGGTTTTTTTACTCTTCTTTCTGAACAGCGACCGATGAGACGATGACTGTCGTATTGATGCCTCCGCGAAAATTGGGGAAGTTGGTTTTGAGCAAACAACCATGAATTGATCGTTCAATCTTCAACTACATTGACACTCCGCGGCAAAAAACGATCCACCACTTTTTCCATCACTACCAATACACGTTGACTTGGATGCCATTGCGAGAACCTGGGTCACACGGACAGAGCTGAAATGGAAAACAAACAGTAAAGCCAACACACCACAAGCGTACCCACAGCACAGTCTTGCACATCAATGACGACCTGCGCCTTCCAGTTAAAGGCATCCTCTTGCAACACAATCTCCACTTGCTAGAATGACTCTTGCAGAACGCAACGTGACTATGGCAGTACCTCACGATACTCTACGCTCATCCTCTTATCTACTCACTACCAATTACCACTGAAATCGCTTGTCACTCATTCTGCCTCAGTTCTAGTAACGGTGACGTATGCGAGCCTCAGTCGTTTACACTCTTTCTCCCCGGCGTGTGGGACCGCAGCTAAGAATTATCTCCGTATTCATTTCATTCTCAGCAATAGCCTCCCCGGCGTATACAACCCTGTTGTCTGCTGTCTCTAACATCAATCAATTCATTCACGGATATAGAAAACTCGAAACAACTTCAGAAGTAAGCACAACGAAAATTTTAACAAAATTACGCAATAAAAGCAAGGTACGAAAACAACAGGTAAACACGGTGAATCCAAAAACACCAATTGATATGACACACCACACATATGTACAAACAGTACACACAAACTCGCAGATCGTGTCTCGATGTAATTCCTTTGAAGAATCTCAGGACTTACATCAGTACGCCTGCAAAACCTTTCAGTTTCACGATTGTAGTTTGAAGAATGTCCGGACACAAACAAGATTAACCAACAAATACATTAATTGGAACCCACTCAATTACTTAACACAAACATATGTACAATCAACACATCAAAGTGGTGGATTCTGCCTTGACGAACTACCCTTGAAGAACTGTGGGACTTACAGCAGTACGCCTACATTCCTTCTCAGGTTGATGATCCAAGTGGAAGTCGTCCGGACACAAACAGAATTACCAACAGCTAGATGACAGATGATATCAATTCAGTATATACAATATGAACATATGTACAAAATCACACACCAAGCACATTGGACTGCTCATTGATGCGCTACCCTTTGAAGAACTGTAGGACTTACACCAGTACGCCTACAACCCTTCTCAGGTTGACGCCCTAGGTTGGAAAATCGTCGCAGAGTTCATTTTCCCACTTCCCACTATGACCTATATCCTCAAATATGAACGGCAACACGCTCATGTCATTGTATCTTAGAATAAAGATGACGAACAAACACACGACGTATCTGGTCAACCAAGCGTAGGCACAGAGTAATTTACACCAAAGATAATAGCATTCAAATAGTAACTTGAAACTAGAAATGCCTTTATTCGTGCAAGTCAATTTAACAATAACTCTCTCCTTTACACTTGGCTTATCCACACTAAACTGACCATTGATATTCGTCCTTTCAAACGAACTGATACTACCATAGTCATTGGACAAGATACTTGAGTTGATGGGCGTGTTTCATTGTGGATGACAGCACCAACGACGACTGATTGATATCAGTTGATGAACTTAGCGGTGGATCAAAAGCTGTTGTTGATCGACTTTCAGAAAGTTGTCTACCTGCAAGACCACCACCACTGCTGTCTTTTACTATCAGCTCAGGCTTAGCACTGGCATCTGATGATAGGTGGGCTACATGCCGATCAATCACACTGACGGTCTCACAAGTATGTATGCCTTCTGCAACTGCATCTGCGTTCAATTCTACTTCACGTTGTAGTTGTACAGAACCTTTATTTAACGTAGAAGTAGTAGGCATTCCCCCCATTTCATCATAATCAACCAAAGACAAATCTGCACTATCATGATCATTACCACAAATATTCACTTTACCGTCAAGTTCATCATTTTCAAACTCTTTAATAACAGAAGTAGACAATTTTGGTTCCTCCTCACAAATCATTAAAGGTTGTATATCTTCAATCTGACTAGTTATACCTTGTAAACTTGTAGGGTCAAAACTGCACCCTGAAGCAGTAACTCTATTCTGTGACACTCTATTCAACAATGGCTTACCAGTTGCAACTACAGACTTATTCACCGCACCGTTATCGTCACACAATTCGGAGTCAGGTCTGGAGTTTACATTAAGCTTATCACTGAACTTGCTCATTGGTTCACAGTTCACTTCTGTATGCACTCCTTTCAAACGTGTAAAACACAACCGTGTTTGTCTCTCAACTCGTAACCTATCTGTTGGGGATGTCCCACGAAAGCTGTTGCACACACTAAGTTTAAATGGATCACTAGACACCATAGAGCCTTCTCGATATCCACTTCTCTGAGACCCCTTCGTCATAAATGATTGCGTTTTGCCCTCAGACTGCTCTATTCTAGGGGTGAGATGCAATATAATGGCTAACTTGCCCATAGATTGATTCACACTATCCTTTACCAGTTTCAGAACATCATCGAACTTTGGCTCGATACCCTCATCCTCCATACGAGAGCTTATCTTCACCCACTTCCTTTGCAGTCGAGTAGGTAGGCGTCTCGCTATTACTTCCAGTATAAAACTCGAGTTAAGGTCACTCATGCAATTCATCGAAATCAGCGTATTCTTGCAAGTCATCAGATTATCCAAAAACTCAGTAAGTGCCTTGGAGTCATCTTGTAATTGGCTACCATTACCTTTAACAGCCTCGAATACGTTCCTTACAATCATCGAAGGTCTTCCGAATCTTTGACGCAGGATACGCATTGCCTCAGAGTATCCTTCGTTAGGAGGCATGAACTTACGGCACTGTATAGCTCTTGAAGTAACTCCAGTTCAGTACCTCATCAAATACATCAACTTCATTTCATCATTCGATAAAAAACTACACAACATGATCTCAAACTCTTTGATAAACTGTGGATGGTCGGTTAGGTTTCCATCAAAGTACCGATGCTCGAATTTAGGTAACTTCAAACGCTTACTTTCCCTAAACGGGAAAACATGAACAACAGACTCATCATGCTGAGCATCAAACATATCATTACAATTAACAAGCAACTCAGCATTACTTACTTTCCTGCTTGCTTCCAAGACGCTTCGTCCCTTCTTTGACCCAGGCATCATTGAACTTGACAAAATTCTAGAAAAGTTCCAGATTACACTTCCCAAACAAGACTTGTAGACACCAGGAAAGACGAACGGAAACTATCTGAAACTGTCAGTGTCCATCTCTTACTACGCTGGACCTCACACTGTCCCTCGAAGACTTTCAGAAACAATTTGCATTAACCAACGGGAAAGCCAGAACACAGATTGACGACTCAAGAACCCCGTATTCTTACGCCAACATATAACCAACAATAATGTTATTACACAAAGTCTAAGAATAAATCTCATAACAAAAAATCCCGATAATACTTCTGATAGTTTCGGTGTGTTCCAACGAACAGCAAACGATGAGATTATTACTGCCGTATTGATGACTCCCGCGAAAAATATGGAGGAGTTGGGTTTGAGCAAACAAACATGAATTGATCGTTCAATCTTCAGTTACATTGACAATGATTGTTGTAATCCATATCTTTGTCACAAGGATGACTTGTGTTTTGCGATGTGAAAACACTAATCCGGGCTGTTTCACCTTGTTTCTGATGCCTCTAAATTTGTTACATATACATTCAATGGTTTCCGCCAACGTATAATTATTATGTTCCGCGGTGTATGGTGACTGTTTTAGTTCATATCTTCACTATTCTGGACGGCCACCTCTCTTGCAACCAACTTCGCTCCCGTCTTGTGAGCGAGTGATTGACTTCAGGTTCAAATTAATGTTGATCTGTAATCACGTTCGATTGATCTTTGGAATCACTCTCCTCCCTTGTTGTCGTAGAACTGTGGGAATACTGGCTCAGCATGAAATTGCTTTTAACCGTGTTTACTGCTCTAGTAATTTCGCATTGTGAATGGAATGCCACCTACTAATATTTATGTATACGCGTAACGAGAAAACTCTTTCTACAAAATTCAAAATGTTTCCTTATAACATATATGATAAGATATTTCAAAGTAACCGCATCATCCTACACATATGCGTATATACATATATTCTGAAACATACCACCCAAGATTTCAAAGCATGGAATTATTGCATATGAGTCCATTTATGGACTTGGAACCACTACGACTAGAGAAGGGAGAATATAACTCTCACGTATGCTCCAAGGTGTGTTTATTAGCCGTGACAGGATTAGGCCATAGCGATACGCAATCACACTACGAAGCCGCCACTGAGTTCTTGTCTCTTGAGAATTGTGCTGACCAGATTGTGTTTCAGTCCACATGGATAAACAAATTGACCGTTGACGGTGAAAGGTCTGAGACTCAACTGACTTCAAGAACTTCTTTGCCCTCCTATCGTATGGACCCATCTTTATTTATTCAGGCCCACTCCTCGGCGTTGAGGTAAACGTCCCTTGTTTTCGCGGGCAGCTGCATAATCCGTTAGAATGATTGACTGTTATTGCTTCGGTAGACGTCCAGTGGAGTAGTTGTACGCGACAGGATCTTGTGTGGACGACAGGACGTCGTGTGAGGAAACAGTTGAAACGGCGCGATCGGAGTTAAATATCTCAACAGTCATTTGTTCATCTGGCCGAAGAGTGAGATAATACTGACAGTAACCACAACTGTAATAGTAAATGGCAAATGTACAGTTAAAGAGACAAACAGTTAACCAGAAACGAATGTATAGATACGCCACGCAACGATTGGTGTTGTAATGGTAGACTAGAAGCGAGGTGGCCAATGAGAACAAAAATGAACTTCACACTATTCTTATAGGTCCTACAATACAAAGCCTCTACAAATATTAGGACGGCAAAATTTGAACAAGATAATCCCTACAAACGCAGGAAGCATAACTGTCTAGTTGATGCATTGGAAGCTTTAAAGCTTTTGACGACCTGCGCCTAAATTTCGAAGGGAACAGCATTATATATTCTATGCTTTCAAACATCGTTACAGCTAATACCAAGTCTTAAGCATAACATTACCTGAAACATAGACTGTAGAATTCTTGGTGTAGCTCACACGGAATACAAGGTGTTCCATGATGGCCGACTAAGTATCTAAACACAAATAATGGCTTAATTCGAGGAAAACCTTGTCAAAAATCGTAGGCAGTGCTTTGCGGCTACCATTTCATTATAAAGTATGTATCTCGAGTTAGGTTTATTGACTGGCTCTCAACAACGCCATCCAAGATATTTGCACAGAATTTGCTATGTGCTAGTAGTCCGTTGCATCTTTCACAAAGCGAAGTCTGTATTGTAAGTACATTCTCCGCCGTACCTTCGACATCAGTGTTTGAATTCATACACTCACAACACATTTTTGGATTCACTGGGCTGAAACGTAACTTAACACGTAATTAAGCAGAAAATTCATTAAAGGCTAGTCAGATAAAGCCAAGAAACCCGAAATCCCAAGGTGTATACAAGAGGTCGAAAAGTATTGGATATTGGATTTTCAATTTTGTTTAGTCAAGCCATCGCACGCCGGACAACGGACAGTAGTTGAAAGTTGCGCTTACTATTGTAGTAGTTCGTGTCAGCATGTCAGAAAGGTGAGGTCGTCCATTAGTCTACCGGCTTTCAGATGTCTCTTGTGAGTGTGTTAGTCGACTTAGGGATTTTGACAGAATGATGTTTGCTTGGAGTTGTCATCCAATTGTTGTCCAACGGACAAGTATGTCGCGCAGTTGAGACAGTCACACTAATTAGAGATCCAGGTGATATTCAATGCTGATTGTGAATAAAATTGCATACTGCAATCTATATGACGGTCTTTTAAGCACTACTGAATTACTCGGTTGTGTTTTGTAGAGGGTTTTAAGGACATCCACGTGGACGTGGATCATCAGGCCTGGTGGTTGGAGAGACCGTGGTGAGTCAGGTGGGTCCTGTGGAAATGGGTGGGTGTGGATTGACCTGTATGATTTTTCGCCATTAACATTATCCACATAACTGCCATCCTCTACGTGCAAAGCTGAGAAGCGTAGAAGTATTTTAGCGCATACCTCACCAATGTCTTTCTAGTGTGGTTTCAGTTCCAGCTTGGAAGCAGTGTAACTGAGATATCCCAAAGACTGAACGCCTTTACCACAGAGTGGTGACTCGGAAAGTCATCTGAACTTCGGTGCATCAAGCTTGTTTGACGGAATTGAGTTGTCTAAACACACTGAGTAGTCGCGGTCCACTTGTGGTGTGTTTTGATGATGGTCGTGAACGTTAACTACATGTTGACTGGAGTTCCTGAGAATCTGTGTGGAACGAAGATTGATGAGGTGTGGCTAACATGGAGGATGAAGAGTGAGCGTGTTATCTGTGGTAGTATTGGTTCCTACTATCCCATGAACCATAGTTAGACATGCACACCGTAGTCAAGACCACCAGTTATTACGTTGGGGATATGCACTTCGCTTCAACTTTACTAGTCCGAAATCCCGTGTTTTCAAACCTGAGTCGTCGATGGTTGCAGTGGGATAATGATTGTATTACCTCTACCAGACAAAACAGCAAGTAAATATGTACGCCATCGATTGATTCATTTAACTTGTTTGTTCGACTCTCTTAATCCCCATCCCCACCCAATGACTATCGTTGGTGAATTGTAGGTCAGATTTGTCAGCTGCGATTCCACACATAAGATGAGAGTAGGGGAAGCTATTCGACACCTGGTTATCGTCAATTCGACCTCTGATTTGGCGTTGCAAGGTGTGGAGGTCATGAATTTTGTCCTGTTCATTTAGCCACGGTGGTTTGCAGTTGTTTCATGAATGATGAGTTGGCGAGCAGTAGTATTGTGTCTGTTGTGTTCGGATATGTATTATGTAGTCCGCTGTCATCTTCCAGATTTATTTATCAGTCGGCCTCCACAAATGACAGAGTAGCACTGCTCGTATTCGTGGAGTGCATAACGACTAATATGTTGTTTTTCACCCTTCAGGTCACGCGTTAACAATTCAGGACCGTTGAAGAAGCCTGCTGAAAGGGGTTATCCAGCGTAAGTTTATGAGTGCTCACAATAACTCGTAATAGTTCGTCTGGTTCTGTGTGGAGTTCCAATGCACCTAGTGAACGGGGTGATATTCCGTCGTCTTCGGAAGGCGAAATTGTCTCGGAAGCTGCCCGCCAGAAAAAGAGCCATCCAGTCCAAAAGGCTGTGTGAGTACTATTCCTGTTGTTCCTTCAGATAACACGACATGTTTTGTCTTGATGCCTAACTAGCTTTCGTTTCTTTGTTTCAGGTATGACATATCTACGGGGATTTCAAAGTAAGTTGACGTCAAATAAACTAACAGTATTTGTCTTCATTGCTTCCTTCGGTAACGCTCCCGAATTGACTATTTTTTCAGACTGAACATACAGAAGACACTCAGAATACCGAATAGACCAGACCAAGGAGGTACACTCGGCAAGAAAGTCAAAGTCACTTCAAACTGTTGGGATTTGACATTTCATCACAAAACGGCATATCTCTATTTTGTGGAAGCCAACTCAGTTCATCGATTGGAAGCTAAGGAGGGCAGTAAAACTGAGATAAGAATGCCACCTAAAGAGTTGAGATCTTTAATTCAGCAGGTAGCTGACTCGTAAGTGCCATTGTGTTATTGATCAAATGGATTGTTTACATATGTAACGGAACTTTCTGTTCCTTAATTATTAAGCTGAATTGTTTCTCTGACTTTCGGTCAAGTATTGCTTGCTTGTCAACCAAAGATTCGTACACGTGTAGGATAACTTGTTCCATGTCCCACACCATTTATTATGTGACTTCGGTTACTATCAGCGTTGTTTAGAAAGAATTGGTGAAGTTGTTGGTTATGGCTTCTATTGAGAGCAATGGTATCTATTAATAAACCTCATGCTAAACAATTATGCTTATTTCACTCGCTTCTGCAGTTTACCAGATACGATCATATACGATGGCGGTCACGCCATATACTCTGAAGATCCGTTACCTGGTGTCACAACGGACCCCGTAGAAAGACAGATTGAGATCAAGGAGCCGTTTGGTCGGGACCGCCTTCTTCTGAAGTACCGGATTATGGAAGTGCAGAAGGTATCTAGTTCCGACATCAGCCATTTCATAACGAATCCGAAAGCGACCTCTATGAACATGCCTCAGGTAAGGCTGAATATGTTTCATATTTGTCTCTAGGAATGTATCAGATTGTTAGACTGCATCTTGAAGACGGTGTCAAAGCAGTCGTTTGTATCCCTTGGACGCTCAGCCCTATTTCAGCAAACACCAATTAAAGTGGTTATGGATAAGCTTTTTACTATTCATAAGGGTTTCATCAGTAGTGTGCGACCCCAGTGGAAAGTTCGTGTCAACTTGGATATGGTAAGTAGTGGTTCACCTTCTTTTTTACATATAATCACAGACGTGCAAGGCCTACTTTGTATCCGGGAATCTAGCGGACGTCATGTATTCGAAGTATGGAGACGATATGGTTAGATGTAGCACTCAAATGGCATACGACTTGAGAAAGATACGAGTTGAGACTGATAAATTCTACAAGAGCGATGATGGTATGCATGTTTTCTGTTATACCTCATACATTTTAGGACGTGCATATTCCCGACGCTTCACCGTGCACGGGATATCATCACTACCAGCCGATCGTTTGATGATTGAGGAGTTGAACCAGTCCGTGGCTGAATATTTCAAGCAGCACCATCATATCACTCTGAAGTATCCAGAACTGCCCTGTGTGAAGGTAAATTTTCATTTCAGTGATTATTTTTGTAGGTTGATCAAAAGCGTGAAGTGTATATGCCGATGGAACTGTTAAACATTTTGCCATATCAAGCTCCTAATGCGAGTAAAGCCGATATTGCGAGTGAAGTTATCCGTTGTGCAGCAATTCGACCACAGGAGCGCTTCAGAGAGCTGGAGAATTTTGCTAATAATATGCTGAAGTAAGAGTTTCAATTATGAGTTGTTACCACGGGTCAGTACTAAAGTGTAGTGTTGCTTATTGATCCAAGAGTTGAGGGTAAGCATGTTGAGATAGACGAGCTTTGAATGATTGATTTCTTCGACATTCCATGAAGCTTATAGCTCAACACTCACTGTTGTAGCGCATTAAAAGGATGGTGAGAAAGTAGAATGAGCAGTAGGTTACAATGCCAACCCTGGATACATGTGGAGATTTCCGAATTATCACACTTAGCTTCTATAGATTCTTTGGTGATGTTAATGGAAGAGTCCTCTAGAATGGGCGGAGAAGTGCTCAAGATAGTGCTACTTTAAGTTGTAGTCGATGAGCTATGGATCTGTAGGTCCTTCTAACTACAAGCCAACTCAGTTTTCCCATGATTGGAAATTCTAGTCTTCATTGTATTCCTGTAAAGAGACAAGTTGAAGGTGACAACGGAAGCACACTACTAGACGAATGATTGGTTATAGTTGTATTTCATTGGTTGTTTACGCACAGTGATAAGCTTTCGATTTCTAGCAAAATTGATACTAGCTATTGGAATTGAAATACAATTACACTTGATTGATGTATTCCACAATGCGTAAACTTCTTACAGATATTATTAGATGAGCGCTTTGTGAACGTTTTGATGACAGAAATCTGCTGTCCGTTGTGTCAGCCGTAATTTTGAAATTTGAATAAATGTGAGGCAAACACCACAATCCTTCTCGATAAGTGCCGGAGATCCTTGACGTAACGCCTACCTACAGAGTTTATTGTTTGTTTTCCAAGCATGCAAGTAGATACGACATACACTGTTTTGTACATCGATTCGATAAGGACGCAGAATGTGGCGGTGTCTAGTTGGTTATAGTGGGTCACGAGTTGTATAATTGCACGGACCTGCGACTAGTCGAGCACGACAAAATTAGAGTAGTGTTTGTTGACTGTGTGACAGTGAAGAGGACTCAATTGTAGGGTAGGTATTCTTGAATGCAAGTCTGGAACCAACTGTGTAGGAAGGTGTGTAAACGACGTTAGCCTGGAGCCAGATTTTATGATTTACTCAATGCATTGTTTTGTAATTATGAGGGTTTCTTTTGACATGACATTTGTTCCATTTCCTCCAAGGTCCCACCCACTGATCAAACAATTTGGTTTGGCGATTCAACCGAGGCCAGTGGAAGTTAACGCACGCGTTATCCAACCGCCAACTGCTGGTTTTGGTCGTTCCGGTGTACAACAGCTGACGGCAGGTAGTTGGAGCACGCCTGGCTTTCTTCACCCTGCCGGCGAAGGAGTAGAAATAATGTGGGCTGTACTTAGCATTCCACCTAATCAGGTATGTTTTCTACTCCGGTTCAACATAAGATTAGTGCTGTAACAAAGTTGAGTTGTACAATCACTTGGGCACCGAATTGACATTGTAGACTTGGTCATTTGTCGATTGTATCAACATCGAAGGGTACCTCGCCTAGTTCCATGACAGCCCACCTACTTCATTGTTCACTGCATTACGTCGGTGGTAATATCATCATCTTTTATTTGTCAGTGTTTAATGCTCTGTATACAAAGAGGAGGTTTTGTCTGCCTTTTAATAAAGTGAAAGAAATGCTGTCAGATAGGTAGAGTAGCCTGAGAAGTGTGCACTTAATTCTGGTTTGTTGTCAAAAGGCATGTGTTATTGTTGAAAACAGTTAATCGCTTTTATAAATTTGGACAGTGTTTTTAGAAGACGGAGATTATCTGAAAAGTGAGATGTATTTGCGCGATACATTTGGGAGAATTATTATTGTCAAATGTAAACGCGAGAACTGACTGCTTCATCTCCTTGCCATGTTTTCTTCCTAGCGGTCTCATGGTCATGTTCAGAAGGTGATATCGGAATTGCCTAGAGCGGCCAGTCGCTTTGGTGTTCGGTTTAGCCCTCGACCGATTGTGGCACAGTGTCCGAGAGGAGAACTTAACAGGAGGTTCGAGGAGTTTTCCAGACAAGGCTGTGGCTTCTTACTTCTCATCTTGTACGATGAACATTTCTACTCATCGATTAAACGTCTGAGTGACCTACAAATGGGGATTCGGACTCAATGTGTACGAGCTCGTACTCTGGACAAACCGAACGTTTTCCGTAAGTAATGCGTGTTGTTCACATGTAGCCTTCAGTGTGTTTCTGTATTTCGATGAGTTTAATTCGGTTTTCTGCTTTCAGCGAACCTGTTACTCAAACTGAATGGGAAACTCGGCGGTGTGAACTGGCGAATTCCTGACCTAATTAAGGACAGTCAAGAGTTGGTTATGGTTTTCGGAGCCGATGTCACTCATCCTGCGCCTACACAAACTCATCAGATTCGAAAGTCAGTAGCTGCTGTTATCGGCAGTGTTTCACCCGATCTTATGAGATACGGGGTAGTTATCCGTCAGCAGGCAACCACAGAAAAGGGGAATAAGGCAGCGAGAGAAATAATCGATGATATGCGTCTCAGTGTCAAGGAGCTACTCCAGGTTAGTTTTCATCAATGACCAACTCTACTGACTCACGTTCCCCTTTTTCCCGTTGTACGCTTTCGTTCTTCCCTATTATTTGTGTTTTGTTGCAGCTTTACCTGCGTAACACGAACGGGCGTTTCCCGACGCGCATGATATTCTATCGCGATGGAGTTTCGGAGGGCCAGTTCGAAAATGTGCTGGTGGAGGAGCTGTGTGCAATTCAACGGGCTTGTGCAGATGTTCGTCCTGGCGAAGAGCCTGCTATCACTTATATTGTTGTGCAAAAGCGTCACCATATTCGATTTAGACCATCTGACCCCAGGTAAGGTATTTGCTCATGATGTTTCCTGTGTACGTACTACACTTTATTCGTGTCTTAACGGTCTGTTTGAATGCTTTGTTAGGGCAAGAAACGTGGAGCCGGGACGGTGGTTGATACAGATATCACGCATCCCAGGGAATTTGATTTCTACCTCTGCTCTCAGGAAGGGATTCAGGTAAATTGTTTCTTTGTGCTAATGCCATTACTTTTAGGGTACATCGAAACCTGCTCACTATCACGTGTTGTATGATGATAGTAACTGGACATCGAATGCTCTTCAGATGTTCACCTACCACTTATGCTACGCGTACATGAGGTGTTCCCGTAGCGTCTCGTATCCAGCGCCGACTTATTATTCTCATTTGGCTGCATTTCGGGCACGTGAGTGGTTATCGGACATAGAGAAACCAGAGATTCTGTTAGATGCTGGTCGTTTCAGAGTTCACAGCAGTCAAGTTGACGGCATGTTCTACTTATAAACAGATTTTGTTATTTTCATATAAATTGTATTTCCTTTTGAATCCATCTTCCCTTTTAATAATAATAATAAAAAAAATAATAAGATTTGATAGTGTGAAATATTCCCATATTATGAATTAAAAGTCAATCTGAACGAAGAATATTCTTTTCAATAATTTCTCTTCAGGTTCTTACAATTATAAAATATAATATTTGTGGTCGTTACAATAAAGATAGCCAGGTATGCGGCGGATACATTTTTTAACGTAGAATAACAGATTAGTTATGGGGTGTCAAAATAAATAGTCATATTTGTGTGACAAACGTGCTAGGCTGAAATCGATTAGAAATATTGTAAAACGGGAGACAATAGTGGTGATTAATCATAATGGAATTGTAGAGTGTGGGGTAGGAAAATTGACAAATCAGTTCAAGGTTATAAAAGGTGTCAGGTGAGTGGCTAGTACAAAGTGGTCTGAGTTAAGCAGGATATAGTAAGACTGGAATGAGAGGTTCATAGTGAGATAACGAATATATTAAATGAAACAGGTGGAGGCATATATTGAGAAAACAGATAATATCACTAATAATAAGTCCGTACAAATGAAAATTCGATAGTATTGAGGGAATGTTTGCATAAAGGGCATAAATTATGACGAATAATAATAACTGTAATAATAATATTTATAATAATAAGCAAATTAAAAAGAAAAAAAAAACCAAAAGGGTTAAGGGGAAGAAGCACTCTTGGTGAGAAGAAAGATCTTCAATCCAAGGTTGGCCACGGTAGGAGCAGCGTCTGGACGTGTTCCTTTTGGATACACAGTTCCGGTTTAGTCGATCTTATTGCAACAGCTTCAGCTATGTGTAGGAGACGTAAGCGAACTGTACGTGATAACGACTTTGGAATTCGGTATATAACTCTGAAAGCTGTGTTGACATCGATGCGATGTCCAGTATCGACCAGGTGTGACAAGATCGAGCTTTTTATGCACTTAATTTCCCCCCTGCTGAACCAAGCTGGTAAGTGTTCTCGAACCCGTAGACGAACCTGCCTAATCGTGCGCCCTATATAACTTGAACCACAGGAACAGTTGAAATGGTATATGCATGAAGAAGAGCTAAGGTTAGGTAAGGCATCTTTGAGTTGCTGGGTGAACATTGGACGGCTAGTGAAGGATAGACACAGACGCGCAGAATAGAAAGTTTTCTTGATCGCCCTGGTTAAACGTTGGGATAGAATCTCCGCAGGAGTATCCCCCTTGAATTGGAGACGTAAAAACAGAGGCTTTTTCTCCACAGTTGTCAGTTCATGTTTACGGCTATTATAACCTATGTTGGCTTTAATGAACTTCTCTGGATATCCGTTCTCGCTTAGAATGTCTCGGATGATCTGGAGTTCTTTCTCTACGCACTCTTCAGAACAAATAGACCTCGCCCTAAATGCTAAGCACCTGATTAGATTACGTTTGTATTTCATCGGTACGAAGCTAAGGAAATGTGTATACTGGGCTTTGGTCTCTAGCTTTCTAAATATGGTTCTTTTGATGGAACCATCCTCTCTTCTCGTTAGTAGGACGTCGAGGAAGTGTAAAGAGTCGTTGTATTCCCCTTCGTAGGTGAAATGGACCGCTGGGTGAGCATTATTGAAGTTGTTCAAAATCAGATCACTATTTAACCCTTCATCGTACACTACAAAAGTGTCATCCATGTAACGACAATACATTTCCATTTTCGCTATTTCCTCTTTCAACGGACTATTTTCTAGTTTTGCTAGAAATATATTCGCAAAAATAGGTCCCAGTGGGGATCCCATGGCTACTCCATCAACCTGTCTGTATATTTCGTTATTAAATAGGAACTGAACATTCGTTGTGCATTTAACAAGTAGTTGTTTCAGATTATTGATAGGAATATCAGTGCACAATTTCTTTTCTATAATCTGTTCACAGATATAATCGATTGTTTCCACTAGAGGCACATTCGTAAATAAAGATGAAACATCAAGTGATGCCATATATTTGCCATTCGCGTTCAGGTTTTTTATCTTATCAACAAATTGAAAGGTATCCTTGACGCTGTGCTTTACTAACTCGTCATGCAAGGGTTGAAGCAGCTGTACCAGCCACTTTGCCGTCTCGTGATAGGGTGAATGGGACATGTCTAGTATGGGGCGTAGGGGCACTCCTGATTTATGCACTTTCGGTAAACCATACATACGTGAGATGGTACTCCCTGTAGGTTTTATATTTTCGAAAGTTTTTGGTGATAAATAGCCTTTACCCTTCAAATCCTTTAATAAGTTTGTTATTTCTTTCTCTATTTTCTCCGTATGATCTTTCATCGCTTTCGGCTTCTGAAACTTGCTTCTGTCAGCTAGTATGGAGTTCATCTTATTGATGTAGTCCTGCTTATCCATAATTACTATCCCCGGCCCCTTATCCGGTCTGGTAATAACTATGTTTTCATTTTGTCTTAGTCTTTTGACAGCTTCTCGGTGCTGTTTTGTGAGTATACTATGGGGCTTATTCTTATCCTTCTGTCTATACTGATAGCAACAGTCTACCAGGGTTGATTTGAATCTTTCTAGGTCCTCATCAGAAGAGGCGACCAAGTCCCCTGTTTGTATATAGAAGTTCTCGAATTGTACATCAGTGTCAATCTGACTAATCTCCGTACGGATATCACAGAACTTAGACCCTAGAGATAACGCTTCCAGTTGTAGTTTGTCAAGAATCACACTAGAAAAGTTATGGACGTACCTTTCTGGATTAGCAGGAAATCTACATTCCGGAGTTCGGCTTTCTAAGCCTTTCATCAGTTGTGTTCGTTTTTTCGAGGAATTACATTCGGCGATTTCGTCGACATATTGCATAAATTGTAGTCTCATCTCCTCTGGAAGGTCGAGAAGTGCATAATTCCTTTGTGATATATTTAATTCCAATTGTGTAATGTCAGACTGTATTGATTCGAGCTGATTAAGTGCATGTCGTTTTAAAGTCATTTTGCTTTGTGGTATTCTGTTTCTACGTAATGATTTCCAATAGAGTTTAGGATATCGATTTTTCTGGATACAATCCTTTATAAATTCGATACATATTCTTGATTCGGCGAGCCGTACGTTGAACTTCAGGAATTCATTGAGTTCCTTTAACGCAACAGGATGCTCATGAGAGTTATAAGATTTGATAGTGTGAAATATTCCCATATTATGAATTAAAAGTCAATCTGAACGAAGAATATTCTTTTCAATAATTTCTCTTCAGGTTCTTACAATTATAAAATATAATATTTGTGGTCGTTACAATAAAGATAGCCAGGTATGCGGCGGATACATTTTTTAACGTAGAATAACAGATTAGTTATGGGGTGTCAAAATAAATAGTCATATTTGTGTGACAAACGTGCTAGGCTGAAATCGATTAGAAATATTGTAAAACGGGAGACAATAGTGGTGATTAATCATAATGGAATTGTAGAGTGTGGGGTAGGAAAATTGACAAATCAGTTCAAGGTTATAAAAGGTGTCAGGTGAGTGGCTAGTACAAAGTGGTCTGAGTTAAGCAGGATATAGTAAGACTGGAATGAGAGGTTCATAGTGAGATAACGAATATATTAAATGAAACAGGTGGAGGCATATATTGAGAAAACAGATAATATCACTAATAATAAGTCCGTACAAATGAAAATTCGATAGTATTGAGGGAATGTTTGCATAAAGGGCATAAATTATGACGAATAATAATAACTGTAATAATAATATTTATAATAATAAGCAAATTAAAAAGAAAAAAAAAACCAAAAGGGTTAAGGGGAAGAAGCACTCTTGGTGAGAAGAAAGATCTTCAATCCAAGGTTGGCCACGGTAGGAGCAGCGTCTGGACGTGTTCCTTTTGGATACACAGTTCCGGTTTAGTCGATCTTATTGCAACAGCTTCAGCTATGTGTAGGAGACGTAAGCGAACTGTACGTGATAACGACTTTGGAATTCGGTATATAACTCTGAAAGCTGTGTTGACATCGATGCGATGTCCAGTATCGACCAGGTGTGACAAGATCGAGCTTTTTATGCACTTAATTTCCCCCCTGCTGAACCAAGCTGGTAAGTGTTCTCGAACCCGTAGACGAACCTGCCTAATCGTGCGCCCTATATAACTTGAACCACAGGAACAGTTGAAATGGTATATGCATGAAGAAGAGCTAAGGTTAGGTAAGGCATCTTTGAGTTGCTGGGTGAACATTGGACGGCTAGTGAAGGATAGACACAGACGCGCAGAATAGAAAGTTTTCTTGATCGCCCTGGTTAAACGTTGGGATAGAATCTCCGCAGGAGTATCCCCCTTGAATTGGAGACGTAAAAACAGAGGCTTTTTCTCCACAGTTGTCAGTTCATGTTTACGGCTATTATAACCTATGTTGGCTTTAATGAACTTCTCTGGATATCCGTTCTCGCTTAGAATGTCTCGGATGATCTGGAGTTCTTTCTCTACGCACTCTTCAGAACAAATAGACCTCGCCCTAAATGCTAAGCACCTGATTAGATTACGTTTGTATTTCATCGGTACGAAGCTAAGGAAATGTGTATACTGGGCTTTGGTCTCTAGCTTTCTAAATATGGTTCTTTTGATGGAACCATCCTCTCTTCTCGTTAGTAGGACGTCGAGGAAGTGTAAAGAGTCGTTGTATTCCCCTTCGTAGGTGAAATGGACCGCTGGGTGAGCATTATTGAAGTTGTTCAAAATCAGATCACTATTTAACCCTTCATCGTACACTACAAAAGTGTCATCCATGTAACGACAATACATTTCCATTTTCGCTATTTCCTCTTTCAACGGACTATTTTCTAGTTTTGCTAGAAATATATTCGCAAAAATAGGTCCCAGTGGGGATCCCATGGCTACTCCATCAACCTGTCTGTATATTTCGTTATTAAATAGGAACTGAACATTCGTTGTGCATTTAACAAGTAGTTGTTTCAGATTATTGATAGGAATATCAGTGCACAATTTCTTTTCTATAATCTGTTCACAGATATAATCGATTGTTTCCACTAGAGGCAC